AATTTTGGTATTTCCTTCAGGCACTTTCCCGGTACATTTAAAAGCCAGACGAAGGCTCGCAACTTAGCAGCTGCTAATAGATAATAAAATAAATTCCAAATTTGGGCTTCCAGATGCCCATATTCGGGGTGGAAACGTATGTTATTCAAAATCTGATGGCTCTATATAGGTACTGTGGTTTTATCACTATGAGAGAAACATATATACACTTATGCAAATTCTTCATTATTTAATTTCTTTAAATGTAATACAGGGCTCTAATATTTGGTAGCAACAATTTGAAAAAAGAACCGACATTTACCAAACATCTGCTGAAAAATCAGGGACAGGAAAAACTGCGACCTAAAAATTTCAGACCACAGCCTGGCATATAAAAAAAAATTATTACTAACTTTTCAAAATAAATATAAAAAAAAAACTTTTTTTTTTAATTAAAAGAAAATCTGAAAGGTTTCAGATTTTAAATTACGTCCGAAGGGCCTTTTTTTTTTTTTTTTTTTTTTTTTTTTTTTTTTTTTTTAAGTTTTGTGTGTTACCTTTATTTATTCAAAAAATGTTCTTCGCCCTTAAACCATAAAATTCTGTTCAAGAGAAATATGGCAAAATAATTTTAAATTGAGCTTATCTTTAGAATTTCCGATACACAGTCTCACCCGCTGGAAATAAAAATGTTTTTTTCTGTACAACGTTGCCATTGCTCGCTTTGAAATCGTTGAGTTTGTTAATCAAAAGTTCGTTAAAGTTTTACAAAATATGAAATTGATAATAAAACAAATTTCAAATTTGGGTTTCCAGATGCCCATTTTCGCAGTAGGATTACGTCATTCAAAATTGGATGGCTCTAGGTACTGCGTTATATTACACAATGCGACAAACATACATACATTTACTCAGATTCTTCATTATTTAAGTTCTTCAAATATAACACAGTGCGATGATATTTGGTGGCTACAGTATGAAAAGTGAAACGGACATTCAGAGTGATTCGACGCAAAATCGCAAAACGAAAACAATAGTCCTTCAGGGACAAACTCACTTTGGACCAAAAATATACATATCAAAAGAGAAGAAAAAAGTGATCTTATCCTTCAGATTCCACTTAAATCCTTAAAATAGTTTTATTCTAAAACCTACGCTAGGCTTACAATGTTTGAGAATCAATCCTTAGAAATCCCTTAGAAATCAATCCTTAGTAAAAAAAAGAGATCGCTCGCATTTCGCTTTGTGCTCGTATCTGTGTTGGATGCAACTTCTATTTCATTAAATATGAGAAAGCTTTCACATAGAGATTTTATTGAAAACTAAAACAACTAAGGAAACTCTCTTTTTTATCTCTTAAATGGTATCTGATTGGGATGAATCGTATAGTATTTCATGTTCTCTAAATATTGGAAATCATGAAAATTAATGAGTCTTAAATTAAATGGAAAAATATTCATGCTATGTTGGCCAAAGCCTCAGATTTCTGAACAGAAATGAAAAGTTTATGCTTAAGTACATGATTATCCTTTAAATGATCCTCCTTTATGAATAAATAAATATCGATGATCTGAAAAGTACGACCACCTGGTTAACATGATGCTTGTTTTCCACGTTCTGCCGCCAAAAGGTTTTCCCAAAACTGTTTTATCTAGATTTTATCATACTTTGTATACAGTATATACTCTCTAGGCAAAACTATGAGCTAAGAATTTAATAAGGAAAATATGGAGAAATTTCTGGAAAAACTAGATTAACAAGTTCAACAAGAAAGAACTACAATAATTTCAGAAACAGCAAAAGGCGAATTTGGTAAAAAAGAGTTTAGAGCAGTGTTTCTTAACCTGTGGTTCATGGTCCCCTTGAGGGTCCATGGGTCATATTTTGGGGTCCGCCGACTGCTCCTAATGTTTAAAATGTTTGCATCAATATTTAAAACCGGCGGTAAAATGAAAATAAGAAACTAAACAAAAGAATAGTAACAAGTGACTAACTACGAGGCTCTCTAAACGTAACTAACTTCACCGCGTTCTAAGATACCGCTGATAATTCAGCAAACTTCTGAATATTACGTTGAAAGATTAACAATCTGCCGAGGCAAGCACACAGGCCGAAACGCGTGGTTCTTCAATTTCTAACTAGCCACCTCCACGCTCGTGAAGCAAGAAAGCACTCTTTCGAACTCGTTTCCCTTCTATTTAACTGAGATTACTTCCGCTAACAATTTGAATTCTTGCGCGTGCTACTAAAATTTACATACTCTGGCATTGGCAATTCCAGGGGAAAGTAAGGCTTGACAGGAAATATAGTTTAAACTTAAAATAAATGTTAGTTAAAATAAATATAAACCCTACAACGTGTCTGGTGATACTATCAAAGAAGAATTCTTATTTTGTGAGCCTCTTTTGCAAATTACAAAGGCAGTTGATATTTTAGCGATTTTAAATGTTTTCTTTTCCAAACACGACTTCGACTGGAAACAAAATACTTCATTCACTTTGTACGGATGGAGCACCTGCGATGCTTGGCAATAAATCTGGTTTTGCCCATTTGGTAAAAAAAAAGAGGCTCCTTAATGTTATTGATACACATTGTTTTCTACATAGACATGCACTGGCTACAAAAACTCTTCCAACCAGCTTAAAAGAAGTACTATTGTCAATAGTTATTAAAACTGTGAATTTTATTAGAAGTAGAGCTCTTAATCATCGTCTTTTAAAACACTGTGTCAAGAAATGAACGCAGAAACATGAGGTACTTCTGTACCACACGGAAGTACGCTGCTGCCTGTCACGAGGGCAGGTTTTGAAACGAATTTTCATGTTGAAGACAGAAGTATCACTTTTTTTAGAAGAAAACGATAACTCACTCTTCGAATATTTCAAGAAGAAAGATTTTATATGTAAATTGGCTTACCTGGCAGACATTTTTAACCACATGAACGATATATGTCTTCCAATTCAAGGGCCTGATACAACAATTATGGATGCCACTGAGAAACTACAGGCATTTTTATTGAAAATGTCACTTTGGAAAATTAGAATTCAAAATGGGATATATGCAAACTTTCAAATGTTGGACGAAATGCTTTTTGATAATGGATCTCGGAAAGATAGTTTGTTATTGAATAACTTAAAAAATGAAATCTGTGAACACCTGGAAGTACTTCAAGTTTCATTTGAAAAATATTTCAATTCGGATGGAATAAATATAAAAGATGAGTTGTGGATTCGTAATCCTTTTCTTTGTGATATTGACTGTATCGATGACATGAACCTTGCCAAAGATGAGCTAATTGATTTGAAAACAAAGTCCTTGTTAAAAATGGATTTCTATTAAAAAACCTCTTGGAGAGTTTTGGTCTTTTTTAAGAAAAGCCTACCCATTGCTTGTAAAACGAGCTATGGCAGCCATTATTCCGTTTGCTACAGTAGCGGGATTTTCCCACCTTGTCATAATAAAAACAAAACATCGAAATAGACTGAATATCGAACATGATATGCGCGTTGCTTTGTCGAAAACCATCCCTCAAATTCAATCTGTTAATCAAGGAAACAGCAGCAACAGCCTTCCACATTAAAAATTTTAATTTCTTCAAATTTTTTATACTATTGAAATAAAAATATTAAAAATAATTAAATAATAAAACAGAATATATTTTGTAATAAATGATGTTTAAGCAATATTTTTTCACTGAGGGGTCCGTGACATATTTAAAATTTTTAAAGTGGTTCATTGTGCCAAAAAGGTTAAGAAACACTGGTTTAGAGGAAGAGGATTTTAGTTCTCTGATCAATGAAATTTGTCTAACATGGGGTATGATGTAAAGTTTTCATGTAACGATGTCGCCCTGATAAAGGAGTAGCAAGATACAGCATAAACAGCTTCACTGACACTACAGTGTCTCATTTTTAGCAACATTTTAAAAACGTAGGCAACAACAAATCACATTGAAAAAATTTTGACTGAAATAGAGGCCAGGTGAGTTTCAACCAGAGTGCAATTCGCTTCGAGATATAATAATAATAATAACAGATGCTCTTTAATAAAGCTGTGTCTAGGTATTTTTCACACCAGGCGAAGAGATAAATACGCGTCTGTACCCATTAAATTAATTATATCTGCACATTTTTGTATTCAGCAAAACGAAATCGATAATATTTTTTTTTCAAAACCTACCGTATTGCTTTGTTAATGTTCTATCAAAAAAAACAGTCATGTTTGAAAGGGCGTTTTTTTTTTAAACCAATGTTGGAAGTTTGCATATTATTTTATTGTTTAAAGTTTGGTGAAACTTTTTTATCTTAAAAATAGTACCTGGTAATCTTATATTCTTAACACAGTTTCCGATTTCGGATACGATTATACTAAATTACATTCCCGAATTATCCGTAAAAGACGTAATCTCAGGCTGGTGACCAGAATTATTGAAATACAGTGGGGACTAGAACCTTCCGCGAAAGCTGAAAAACCGCGAAATAGGATTTGCCCCTGGGAATTTTCGTGTATGCGGGTACAAGAAGTTTTAAATATGTAAACAGTATTTTACATATTTAAGACAAAAATTACAACAGTATACGTATTTACTTAAACGTGCCAGTGCTAATTAATAAGGCTAATTACAAAACTTTATACAGTAATAAACACGAATCAACATTGCTTTCTGAGAGAAACGAAGAGTCTTGCGTTGGTGGCGGAGGAGAGGCTCATACTTGACTCGGAAAAGCTTTATGCTCACTCGGAGGCTCTTCTGCTGGAGGGGCTGATGGTACATCCGGGGACTTTACCTTGGTGAGAAACATGGTGATGGGTAGTTGTTGTCTTTGTTTTTTCTTTTCCTTCAAAATTCCTTTGTACAAGGACATAACGCAATTGCTGAACTCGACAGCTCGAACCATATTGTTGTCAATATCTTGTGCAAATTGTTGCATTCGCTCTTGCCATGTTGCACAATTGTTGCAGATTCTTCAGGGTAAGGCCACGCTTTTCAGTTTCTTCTTCGTCTTCCTCTTCATTTTTTCCTAACAAGCAGACTTCGTCATCTCAAGGAGGTCTTCATCGGTCAGTGGGTCCGAGTGGCAATCGATAAGGGCGCTGATGTCTTCTTTTGTCATGTCGACAAATCCTTCATTTCTTATGATGTGAGCCAGTCTCACCGCCTTCTCCACCGCTGAATGATGAACTTCTTCAGGAGTGAAGCCTGGATAGTCGTGCACCACGTTCGGCCATAATTTCTTCCAGCTAGAATTTATAGTGTCACTCTTCATGTGCTTTAATGCTTGTTGAATATTAGACAAACATGAGGCAATGAGGTCGTAACCGCGCTAGTATGCTTTCAAGGTGAATTCGTCATCGGCATCGTCAACTGCCGAGATGAGGCGTTACATCTTGGAGCGAGTGTAGAGTGCCTTAAAAGCACGAATGACACCTTGATCCATCGGCTGAAATGGAGATGTAGTGTTAGGGGGCAGAAACTCTATCTGCACATCGTCATATTGCAGGTCCGTTGCAATGCCTCCTGCACAGTCCATCAGGAGAAGGACCTTAAAGGGGAGGCCCTTTTCAGCCAGATACAGCTTCACCTGGGGAATTAAACAATGGAGAAACCATTCAATGGTCAGAGCTTTCGTTACCCAGGCTTTAGAGTTATGCATACATAACACGGTCAACACAGTCGTATTTTTGTTTCTTTTTTAATGCCCGTGGATTTTTGGCTTTATAAACAAAGCCTGGCTTAAGCATAAAACCTTCAGCATTGCCAGCCATGATGATAGTCACACGGTCTTTGTAAGCTTTGAAACCTGGCCTCTTCACTTCGTCTTTGAAGAGGAATGTGCGCGAAGGCATCCTCTTCCAAAAAAGGCATGTTTCATCCATGTTGAAAACTTGTTCAGGGAGGTAGCCTCCCTTACTGATGAGGTTAGGCAACTCTTCCTCCACGTAACGACAAGCAGCATCGTTGTCAGCAGAGGAAGCTTCACCATATAGAAGCCCGTTGAGGCCGTATCTTTTTTGAAATTTTTCGAACCAGCCTTTGCTGGTTGAAAAGCCACGTCCTCAAGGAGGCGAATCATTCCTGGCAGCTCTATTACTGGCTTGAGGTTCGTCAGTACCTTCTTCAGCCTTTTCATTGTCGCCATCGGGCAAGATTTGGTCGTAGAGAGCTTTGGTCTTTTTCCTGATCATATTAGTGTCCAAACTCACTGTTTTTTTTCCTGCAATCAGCAATTTACAATGCCAGTGCAGCTTCCATTTTCATAATTCTGTTATTACGCGAAGGTACTACACGTTTCGTTTCTTTATTGAAGCAGTTTTGCGGATATTTGCTTCCTCTTTCTTGATGTACCGCACTGTAGATTCATTCATCATCAATGGCATGCCACAGATGCATAACTTCTGCCCTGTTTGATCATATCTAAAAGTTTCACTTTTTTGCTGATGGTCATCATTTTCTTCCTCTTGGACGCCCCGGAGGAAGCTTTCACAGGGGCACAGCGCTTAGGCGGCATTATAAGGGCTTAATTAATAAAAAAAGTTATCGCTTAAACAAAAAAGTTATCGCCAACACAACACTAAAATACAGTATGCGAGACAGTCAACATCTTGGACAAGACTGCCGATGATACAGCAAGAGAATGTGTTAGTTGAGGCTGCGATGATGGGCAGACATTTAACTCGCAGGGATAAATCCATTCGTACTCTCATTGGTCAATGTCGCACTGGAAACCACGCGCCTTTATGAGGGCCCGTGGTATGTACTCTGAGTCAACTCATCTCTTTGTTTGACATGCAGAGATCCTTCTCTCTCGCGCATCAACATGAAACAACGTTCCTTTTCGCAATGTGATTGCTAACATGGTTGTATTTTTCATTTTGAATTTTTGATGAATATTTTGGAAAAACCCGCGAAGCACTGAAGCCGCAAAACATGAAGCGCGAAGTGGCGAGGGAACACTGTAATCTAGTTTCTAAAATTAAATATTTCTGACAAAATTTCTGAAACATTTATATCATTCTGCAACATTTCATACCATCTGAAACATATCGCTTTGCGTTATTTTCTTTGCGACGTTTTCGTCCGCGATGTTTTCGGCGGATACCATTCACTTTGAAGCAATATCAAGATGCTTTTGAATTATCGTAACTAGTTCTAACCAAGTTTTATTGCTTTAAATAAAAGATTTAAAAATTACGCTACTGAGTTTGTTTCAAAGTCAAGTTAACAATCATAATTTATTTGCTGAAATGAATAATCGCTTCTTAACCACTTTGGCGTCCCTTCTAGTTGTTCACCTCAGGTTAGTGACTCAGTTACCTCACCCCTGTCCCGGCTCTGCCCCCTAAACTTAGTTACATGGTGTTTCATGGAAAAGAATTTTATAACAATAACATCTTTCTCATCCTTTTCCACTTATGCCTGTTATTCTCGTTCATACAGATAGAGTAAAATTAAATTAAATTTTCGTCTTTTTTATCTGTTTAATATAACATTCCTATTCTTTTCTCATTGCTTGAATGATTTCTATTAATTTTGGTTTTGAACTTATAGACAAGATACCATTGTGAAGATTAAGTAAACAATCACCTGTAGAGCAGAAGCGAATTAATGCATTTTACATTCATTCCTATGGGAAAAATTGTTTCGGTTTATTAACATTTCGGTTGACAAATGGCCTTCAGGAAAGAGTTAAATTCGTAAATCAGAGTTTCACTGTATTTCCTTATACAAATGAAGCCTACGCAGTACGCTGTCTAAATGTTGCAACAGAAGACTGAATTCGTTAGTTAAATAGTTTTCTTTTAATTATTCACAGAAAAAAAAAGGGTCCATTTTTTAATGCAAGCATATTCACTGTAGACATTTTCAATGGTAAACCGTGGATAATTCAAGGATTTAACTATCCGAATTTACTAATGCATTCGAAGTATTGTGTATGTAATGGATCAGGGTGATTCGGACATTTTCTTTTTACAGATTGCTATTTACAGACGTTTTGGCATGCTCTTTCGAGAGACTTTTCGTCTTTGGAATACTGTATTCCAGTCGCTTGTTTATTACAAATGCCCCTTCTGATAAAAAATAATATGTGTTCAATAAGATAAATTTATACTTTTTCACCAACTCGATAAGCTCCAGCGTTTGCTTACAATTACTTTCATCAATAAATAATAGGATATTCACTCTTTTTGACTTATTATTTTTTATTATTTTGACTTTCAAGCAGGAAAAAGTTCACGATCGGAAACTGTAGCAAGCTTCAAAAAAGAATTTCCCAGAAAACTAGTCTACGTAACAGTTTTTTTTTTTTTTTTTTTTTCCGCTCCATAAAAGTGAAGCAAATAATATCTTCCCGTGTTTAATATTATTTATTAACCTATTATATAATATTTTAACCAAATTATATAACTGAAGGTGTTTCTAAAGTCACAACTGCTAATTATTCTTTTACTTTAGTAACTAAGGTGTCGAACAAAATCACATGAACTATATTTCTTTAAAGCAGTAGGATTTTAAAAGGCACGTAGCATTAATAATGAGTATGATACCTACTAACCGCTAAATATTTCTGTAGATGGCGTCATTATCTTCTGGATTGCTCCTATCTGTATGATGAATTGTTGCGGAGTGCAACCATTTATTGCTGATCTAAAACCCTCATAGTAGAAATTATTTTAAACAAATATTAAAATCTTAAAAATTAAATTATATGTTTTATAAGTAAAATACATTCATCTTCTACAAATTAAGCGTTTAGTTTATAAAGCTTAAAAATTATTATTATTATTTTTCCTGGCCTATAGTTATGTTTTCTAGAACTATACTGAATTCAAAACTCAATTAAGGAACACTTCACTACATTTATAATTTTTGTTATAAACCACAGGGATATATTTCTGTTAATTTTTGAAATTTTTGCAAACTGGAAGTCTTAAAGAAAATTATTCTATAAGAAATATGTTATACATATGAAAATTTTGAGCGTATAATTTCATATACATTTAAATTTCTATGATGTCATTTTTTTTTTCTTTCGTGATATACATTTTGATCTAACCTGATTATTTTACGTGAACTGTCAAATGCCCTTAGAACAGTGTTCTCTCCATAGAAAACAACGTTTGCATGCTCTACTTTAATTAGTTAATTAACTACTAACTATTGTACTATTATAACGGTTGTAATCTTATTTTGGCCTATCCATTTCACAGAACAAGTCCGATTTGTAGAATATCATGAAGTATTTAAAAATTAAATATCAGTTTAAAAAAAACCCCAAAATTACGACTAAAGGTATTTAAATAATATAATATAATTTTTCGAGGAATCTTCTTTAATTCTATGAATGTGTCTCGAACTGGTGTAAAACGATGCATTTCCTTTCATTGGCATGCATTGGCGATACAAAATATGCCATTGGCGACACCCTCAAAATGCCCCACAATTACGACAACCCTGCAATCTTATGGAAGCCATGTTCTCATTTCAACCTGCGTTTCAAACAGCGGTGAATCGAGATAGGTGAGAGCGGTTACAGTGAGTGAAAAAATTCCATGCGAGTGTAATAACAAAGGTATACACTGGTTTGGAACTGTTTGTGTACTTTCATTGTAACATGCATTTATCTGCATTTCATTAGATTATAGTTATCTGTTTTTAAACGCTGCTCTTCAACAATCTCTGCTTGCCTTTGGCTTTTATTGGATATTATATGAGAAGCATAAACATGGCAAGGTGAGTAGTTCTGATATACCGGTTTATTTTTTGTGTGTGACCAAATTTTCGTAAACGGTGCTACAATAACAAGCTGCTTGAACACTAGTCGCATGCCGGCATTATTGATTACAGAAGGCCTGAAGGGTTAAGGTTACATGCTAACCCCAATTCTTTTAATTGCTGTGTGACAGATGGTAGTTTTTATGAGCATCGGGCCAACCTCCACATTCTGTGTGCAAATGAAGTAAATTTAACCATGCGCTTACTAAATATTTTTATGACTGAAAATATTGTAATTGATACCTCTCAAAAATTCAGAATTAATAAAAAAATTTTTGTAATGCAAACTTTAAGGAGTTTTATAATGCAGATCTATTATTTTTGTGAAGTTATCATACTTTTTTTGAAGAAATCTGTTGACAGTTTTTATGTTTTTAATAAACATATTGGAAAATAAAACTTTTGTTTCTGCTTACAAATTGGGATGTGAAATTGCATTATTCAAATTTTTACTACTGTTACCAGTACTTTACTTTCTTTCTCCCCTCCTTTTTTATTATCATGGGAGTTAAAAAAAAAAAAAAAAAAAAAAAAAAAAAAAAAAAAACACTTACAATCAATAGTATATTTATAGCATATGGCTAAATTCATATGAAAATTTAAGTGAGCAAGTAAGGTTATACAATAGTGCAGGATTTTCTGACATTTTAAATTTAGAATTTTAATATTCAGTTATGGTAATTTAAAAGTAAATTCACAAAATTCCTTTATGCATCAAGATTTAATGACTGATCCGAAAGTATGTCATGTTGCTGTATGTTGAAAATACTAAATGTGTATTAAATAAATAAAATTATAATACACTTTAAATGAAGCTAATAGAGTGTTTGATCTTTAAGTGGGCAGTAATATTCTTCTCATACCTTAAAATTTGGCTATTTAAGTCTTATGTACATTTTGAATGTTTGAAACATTTTCAAGTCTGTACTTTGTAACTGAAATTTCTCTCTTCATGTATCTCTATTATCAAAGATTTTTAAATATTCTAAGAATAAATAATATATTAATAATTAATTTTAATTAAAAATGTATGTACATTTTGAATGTTTGAAACATTTTCAAGTCTGTACTTTGTAACTGAAATTTCTCTCTTCATGTATCTCTATTATCAAAGATTTTTAAATATTCTAAGAATAAATAAATATATTAATAATTAATTTTAATTATAAAAATAATTAAAATGATACTTCTTATTAAAATAATATTTAAATGCATGCGCATAATTTATATTCAGTAATTATCTTTCATATGAAAACAAATATTTTGCTTTTTATCAATTTATAGAAAACTTGATTTTTTATGAATTAATCATATTTTATAAATTGCTTTAACGAAACGAAAGAAGTTGTGTCATTTCATTCTGAATAGTTTATTCCTTTATTTTCATTATTAAATTGTTAACCTGATCTAAAACTACATGCTGAATAAGAATGGAAGAAAATGACTTATTGTTTTCATGTTATGTAAATTGTAACTATATTGAAATCTTCACAAGACAATCACTCATCATTCAGAATAATTTGGATTTTTTATGGAGATTGTTGCGGTAGAGAATATAATTATTGGTGATATTGAATACTGTCATTTAATGCTAGATTAAGCATGTGGGTGACAGGTGTCAATCACTTATCAAAAATAGGCAAGTGGTTAATGCAGCATTAATTATGGTATCAGGAATAGTAATGCCGTCATAGGTTTAGAGTGTATAGTTTGTAAGAGATTTCACTATATTTGCTTTTTTTGTGTTGGCTGCTTTAATGAATAACATATACACATGATCTAAAGCAGCATTTCACAGCTGGGATGGATCCATAGAAGTTCAGCGTAGTTCCACAAGAAAAAAAAAATTGTATTTTGGCGGTCCATTAAAATTAAGGAATTAGTCATAAAATATTATTAGTGAAGTAATTGAAAAATAATAATAAAATAAACAAATGTCATAGAAAAGTCCAGAAGTTCATGGTTAGAAGATATTCATATTTTCTGTAGCCTCTGTAACCTTTCTAAGTTAACCGGGGCACACTGTCCATATAAAATTCACAAAGAAGAAATCAGTATTTAAGCACCAGATAATTTGGAAAAAGTCAGTCACAGATAGTTATAGAGAGTAATTGGCATCACTGAAATTTTGTTATTGAACATTATTCTTTTAGTGCACTATGTTCTCATAAGTACCTTACAGTTGTGACAACTCCTGGGATTAGCAATGGTGCAGCTGAACTTTCCTCTAAAAGTAAAATAAAAACTATAAATTTCAGTTCAGTTTTTAATTTTCATATCTAATTTTAACTTATATTTTACAATTTCATTTTCAGTATTTAACCTTTGATGCTTAAAGTTGAAGATAATTGCACAAACAATAATTATTAAGATTACTTGTGGATTTTGGATATGTATTCCCTGAAGTATAGAGAAAGCTAATTAAATGTATAGGCAGCTAACAATCATTCTACTATCTGTGCCAGAGGATGCACCACATTTCATTTAGGAATGCTACATATGCATATATGTGGGTCCACACACTAAAAGTTAAGATTCAAAAACATAGAAAAAAAAAACACATCTGGGAATGCTTGGTTTAAAGAATGATGAGACATTGAGAACCCCTGGTTTAGCAAATATTTAGGAATATATTCTGGGGTAATAAACAGCAGTTGTTTTAAGATTCTTGCGGAATAAATTTCAAAGAATTTTTGTATAAAGACATTCTTAAGATTGTTAGAAGTATGAAAGTAAATGCAAATTTAGAAATATGGTCAGGAATAATAAATTTTGTTATGACAGCTGTTAATTGCAGAAAAGAACTCTGTGCTACATGCCATGGTCATTGGTTGAATATTACAGTTATGAGTTATAGAATTAAAGAGAATTGCACATGATTACATTAAAAAAAATAATGTATCAAAAAATAAATAAATAAAAAAATATCTGAAAGCTTTCAGACGTATTTTTACTTATGTACTTTTATTTATTAAATATCATGTTCTTTGCACTTAAACCATAAAATTCAGTGGCAGTATTGCAAAATAATTTTAAAATGAGCATATCTTTAGATTTTCCAATACTACACAGCCTCGCGTGCTGAAGATAAAAATGATTTTTTCCTCCATATGTTACTGCCATTGCTCGCTTTGAAATCATTGACTTTGTTAATAAAAAATTTGTTAAAGTGTTACAAAACATGAATTCCATAATAAAACAAATTCCAAATTAAGGCTTCCAGATGCCCATATTCGGTGGAGGATTATGTCATTCAAAACTGGATAGCTGCAGTTACCGTTTTTTATCACAATGTGAGAAACATACATACATTTATGCAAATTCTTCATTATTTAATTTCTTTAAATATAACACAGGGATCTAATATTTGGTGGCAACAATTTGAAAAGGTGAACCGACATTTATAGTGAACCAACACAAAATGCCAAAACGAAATTAATAGCCCTTCTGGGCTAGCGCCCTTTGGGCTAATAATAATGAAATGAACAATAAAAATTATGATAATATTAGTTATGATGGTAATAATTTCTTACTATATAACCAAAATATAAAATATTTTCCTCTGGCTCTTTTTAGAATGAGAACTTTTCTTAACATTTTTTAATTATTAGATGTTTCATCTTGGACTAAAATTCTTAAATATAATTTTTTTTAATGGTTGGCTGCTTTAATAAATAGCCATTAGGCTTATGCCACCACAAGGGCTGCAAGTGGTGGCCCTTTCATTATGGAAGCACCTAATTAGGTGGCCATTGTTGCCTTCTATGAAGGGACATTAACACCAAGGTACGGCCCCTGCACTGGAAGGACTTAGCCTCCCTTTCAAGGTTTTAGAACCGCAGCCTCAGGACCAATCCGATAGGGCGCTGCTCCTCCTGATCACTGCAGAGGAAAAACTTCCTTCAAAGATTTATTTGTCAGAGAAGAGACCGACGGGCGACCATCACGAAGATATCCACAGGGCCAGCGTCAACTCTGACTGCTTCACATGTTAGACTAAACTTCAAATTCAATTCCCATGATTGAGGCACCACTTCCTCTCGTGGTACTAGCTACAAGGACGGTATGTTTTAAAACTTGAGATAATATGTCCGTCCACACCAACCGAGAGGAGCCAATCCCTCTCAGACCGGTCAACACCATCCACCATGTAACGTCCCCACAGCTTTGGTCACAGACATGACAGTACCATACGGTCCCTGCTGAGCTTGAACCACCATCGAATAAACGATGGCTCTAGTCCTTCCTGTGAAGACTATTTATTTACTCTGCAGGCCAGAGCTGTCTGGACACAAGTCTAGCCAGTTATCTGGAACAACTCTGAGTCTCCTCCCATAAATGGTCGGTTCCAGAAATTCCGCCCAGCCAGATCACAGAGTTAGTTTTCCAGCATCGTAAGCCTATGAAAGCCAGCCTATGTCTAGCCTTTGCTGGCATAGTTTCCAGCGGGCGCCATAAGGAGGCCGATGCTGAACTGAGGGAGATGTGGCGAACCACTTCCCTTCGGTACCTGCATCCTTAGATCAAACCCCGGGTCTCTTACTACCAGCAGTTGGTTCCGGAAATTTGTCCTCAGATACGGACACCACCCGCCTCTATGAAGGGACAGACAGTTACAACCATGCCTTCTCCGGAATTCGAAAGTGGACCCATCGTGTGGCAGTCAGGGTTACTAACCACTCTACCGGCTGGGCGGCTTCTTAAGGGCTAAGCTGAGTCAGTTCCAATGTGTCGACTAGCTCTGCTGTGCCTGCAGTTAAGATTTTTCAACTTGCTGCCCTATGAGCAAAAAACTGGTTTTGGAGATGGGTTGGCTATGTCAGTTGTGTTCGTTAGCTCAGATAAACCCCAGTGGGAATGCCCTGTATCATATGATAAAACAATGGGTTTAATACAGGAACGTCACATATTTTAAATTTCTTGTGATATTTTTATGGAATTCTTTTGTAGGGTTCCTCACTTTGTAAATGCTGTGTTACAGTTGAATGTGAAGAAGCCTAAGAACTAGTTAGCGAATAATCGCTTGAGTTCGTGTACAGGAAACAACAAATAAGAAGGGTTAGCTATTCCTTTATTATTCCAACTAAGATTTAACAAACTCCGTCTTGGAGCAATACAATAAAGCCACCACTTGGGCTTGAACTTAAGAGACTAAGAATTAAACTCAAACTAATCTAAACTAAAAGAGATATAGCCGAAGCTATCAAGATTCTAACAAAGTTGGCCCCTTAACGTTTAATATCCTGTGTAGCTATTAAGGGCCTAAAGTGTGGCCGGGCGAAATAATAGCTTAAGAGAGAGTAGTTTAAAAAGGCGGACACATGCTATCTAGAAATCTGGTATCTCTCTGTCTGAGATCTAAGAACTTCACAGTTTAAATACTGCTCCTCCTCATTAAGTATTCAGAGTGATTCTAAAACTATGTAAGTTAAGAATTTGACAGGAAAGGAACTTTAACTTAAAATTTAACTGTTAATAAAATTAACATAATCCTTACAATGTATTTATTTTAATTTTGAGGTACTTACTTCTTTTTTATATTAAAATAATATTTAAAACATAGACACTAGATAAATCTCAATTTTGTATTTTTCTCCAGGCCACTGATGTGATGTGATTTAAGAATAATATATGGGTAAATCAGATTGATTTCTCGGACTGGAATCTTGAGACTTCAATCAACATTTTAAAGGTAAAAATGTTAGAGAAATGAAGAGGGTTTGGAGCTTATTTGAACATTGCCTTGGTGTACCTTGGCTAAGATTGTAATATAAATTAAAACCAAAGAGGTGCTAGTGCTGAGCTTATTGCTTTCAGTCTAAAATCAATTATTGATCTTTTGTCATAATTGCAGAAACATGCTAGAGTTTTTTGCCCTATAAGTGTGATCCATGCACTTACAGTAATCCTGTTCATCAGTATCTAATGATATGTTCAGAAGTAATGTAAAAAATGTTATTATTTAGAATCTCCGATTATCATATTTCTTCTAATCTAAGATATTGTGGAGATAGATGCCACTGAAGCTTAATGTATTTTAGAAATGCAGGTTTTTCCAAATTACAAATTATTCTGAAATATTTTTTTTTCCAGTATACTAATTTAAATAGAATATTTTGTTGTTAATAAAGCAAAGCCAATTATTAAATATTTCTACTTGTATTTAAGTATTTGATTTTGTTCATTCTATTTTTTTTTTAGAATTGAACCTATTATTACTGACTGAATATTATGACTGTAACCTCTTGGTGCGATAATCTGTCCCATCAGATCTCTTGTGTAAATAGTTATTTCAATTATATGAATGCCATGACCATTTTTATCTTGATATATTGAACTTTTCCTGTACAACTTTTTTTAACATTTTGTTTGTTCTTTGGTGATTTATGTAATCATATTAACAAATTGAAGTTATGTAAAAAATGATAAAAATAAAAACGCATAACTACACAGATTAAAGTGATAAGTATTGTGTAAATATAACACTCCTCACTCATTAGTGAATTAAAAAAAATTATTGGTGCCTAAGAACTAAAACCATATCATATATGTTCTATAACAATCTTAGCAGCAAAAATTATAAAATTTCACATGCAATATACTTTTTTAATAGTAATTTAAAAAAATCAAAGAATTATAGTTTTTAAAATTTTAAATTATGTAACATATTTAGAGCATTTAAATTATATTTAATTAATGTTAAAAATTATAAAGTTTTATATTGAAGGCAAATTTGTGTAAAATTAACATAATTGTCAAAGAGAGGAACTTGTTTTTAGAATTTTTTTTTTTTAAGGTATGAAATCTGAATTCATGTATTAGGAATAACACTTTTATAAATTTCTGTATTTTTGTAGTTTTTCTTGAGTTACATATGACGAAAAAGTGTTTTATTTAAATACTGTATACCAGTAGACAGAAAAACACAAAACGCATTTTTAATTTTGTCACTAAATTCTTTATTCATTTTCAGATTATTTCAGGGTTGATTAAATGAAGTAATTTCATCAAAATATCAATTATGTAATAGGATTATCTGCAGTTCCTCGGGAATGTCGCGAACTCGTTAACGGCTTTTGAGAGCCTTCCCGAGTTGGCGAGTTGTTAATTTTTCACCAATCTTTTAAGGCGCGAAAGGCGACAGCCATTTTCAAAATGGCGGCGTGCCAGGATTTTTTTTAGGAGCATTCAATAAATAAAATTTAAAAAGCAAGGAAAATGGATAATAAATCACTCACATTTTTCATGAAATCCTTTTTTGCGCTTCCTTCTTTCTCGCCATGTACACAGCGATCGCTTTTCGCTTAAAAGGTATTAAGAAAATTGCGCAAACTCGGCGTTCGTGTGAACCGAAACAAGAAATAATCATGTTCTACGTTGGTCTGGGTTGCCACAAAAATATTTTCTGGCGACATTGTGGGTTGTCAAATAACTATCGGAGGTTATCAGAAAATACCATAATTTATTTGCTATTAAATTGATCGGATTCCTATGTTGCTTGTAGATAATTAGAAATAAATCAGAAATGTGAAAACTGATTGATTGCATTTGTTGCATCTCTGGTTTATTTGGAGATACAATCTGTATTTTTGATAATTACAGACTTAATTTATTAAGAGGTTTCATGATCTGCTGAATTTTAGTTTTCAGAAATCTTGAAATTTTGTAGAAAATGAAGATTTCCTTTGATATTTTATACACTCGTTTAATATTGGAAGCTAATTCATGATTTCTACTTTTAAAAAGACAGCTTTTATATTTGTCTAACATGTAACATTTCTTATAAAATATGTTGTAATGAGATTCGGTATTTTTAAGAATCTATTTACTGCCTAAAGAAGTGATAACATTAGCTACCAAATTGTCTAAATAAATATTGTATAAATGTTGCCATATAGTTTTATCAACCTATTCACCTAACTTAACCGTATTTTCGATGCCATATGGTGCATTTTTCATTATTTCTTTCCACAAACATTTCCACAAACATCAAAGCTTTAAATATTCCACATCTTTCGATTGCCACATGCAAGAAACAAAACTAAAAAAAATTAACTAAATAAAATTAAATGAAAACATTCATAAATTATAAATTTCATGTCATATGACATCCAACATTCTCCCACCAACAACAGCTTAACTTTCTGCAAATATTTATATAAATATAATATTAAACATATATATAACAATAATATTAAACAGTAAAACTTTTAAAAACAAACACAGTATTTTATAATTAAATTTAAAAAAAATCTGGCTACACTAAATTCGCGCTCTTACAGTTACCGAAATAAATCTCTAGGTTTGCCACAAGAAAACATACAGCCGGAAACCACAACCAAATTAAAATCGCGCCAAATAAAAAACTCTCACCAAGCTTGGGGCTCACCCCGATTATGGAATTTTAACCCAATTTATTTACGTATAGCAAATTCTTGTAACTTTAGGCTTAGGTTTCAGAATAATCCCGCTTCTGATTTATGTTAACTTCCTTTTGCAGGTAAATTAATCACTCATAAAATGGTTGTAAAAGACAAACAAACATTTATTTAAAGATAAATCTTAATAATCTACACGTAACGTATTCGTAAACGTACATAACATAACAAACGTACTTACTGCATCGTACCGTTAAACATTTTAAGCGTACATCATCTCAGTGTATATATTTTAAAATTATAAATAGAACGACATCCAGGAATTAGCTGTTGCCATTTCTCAATAGATATTTTGTCTAATAACAACAAATAATTTACAATCGTGCTTACACAACTTTATTTATTTATTTTTTAAATTTTTACATGTGTTTTTCCCTTTCTACTACATTTCTGTCGGTAATTTTTTAATAGCCTCTTCCGTTTCATTTCTGAACCCTTCCCGCCAAATAAATAAATAAGTAAAAATAAAATTACAGAAAAATAGTAGTGCCACTTATTGTATCTTAAGTGTCTAGATAAAATACACAAAACTAAAATTAGAAAAATAGAATTATTAATTAATAAACTTTGTACTAAATCGCACGAGAGTGAAGGCATAAGATTAAACATGGTTATGCTAATTATAACAGAAAATATTTCACCATTGGAATGCATGCAAGGCCACATGAATTCAATTAAATAAGAGTCGCAATATTTGGTGGGCTGTTCCTTTTTGAGGCCATCAGCGGCTGAGCCGTAAAGTCGTTAAACACTGGTAGTTCAATCCGAGTTCAAATTCCGGGGAACAGGCTGGCTGTGTGGGAGATTTTGTGGTTTTAGCCAGTGTAAGATGAATGCGAAAAAGTTTCACTTAAAAAAGTCGCCACAAAGGAATCCTTTGATTTGGCAAATATCCTTGTGTATGTCACCATAATCTTTTCCCGAAATGTTCATAGCTATAAGAAAATATATTAATTCCATCCGCACATTTTCTTCTACTGCGGAAAATCTCAAATCATTTGCATTAATTAAAAAAATCGGATGTGTACACCACATGACTTCCTTGTACGGAATATTAAATTATATGCATTTTTTCTTGCATTCTTTAAAATTCACTGTAGTATTTGTTTACCATACGACACTCTGGCGCTAGATTCACTTAACAGTATTGTATTTGTTCATATTATAACTCATAATGCACAAAATTTATATCATTTAAAGAATAGAATTATCTAATCGTTGCCACATGTTCTATTCAAATACAATAATAAAGCTAGAATGATGTATAAAAGAAATTAAGCAAACAAAACAAAAAAGAACAGTTTTTCACAGACGATTGAGTATTTATCATTCAATTAATTCAGTTCTCACTTCGCGAGAAGGCAAAAATACATAAAAACTCAAAATATCTATATTAAAAATTACGAAGTAAATCTTAAACACATATTTACTCGAAAAAATTCAAGAAAGGATTAAGCATGATTTAATTGGCAATAATAAATGAAGGCGTTATCTTTGTTGTTGCGAAACTAAGATTCTCTAGATTGGCAACAAATCCACTAGTCTGCTGTTTCAAATGTAAACAATTAATGGCCGCCATCAAACAAAAGGCTTAGCGGCATTTAAACAACTTTAGAATTGTTGATGATCCTAGAAATATTGCATGCAGATTTACCGGTTAAGGCATAAAAACCTTAACCGGAAGTTAAAACAACATAATTCAATCATTTTTAAAGCAAAAAATGCACAATTTACAAACATATAAGAGTAAAGAAACAGATTACTGAGCCGGGTAACAAAGTGGATATACATATAAATATATGTATAACGTTTGGTACGGCCGATTGCAACCAAAATACGAGGTGCACATCTACATGTTATAGCAGTCCTATATACAAAATTTCAACGTTCTGAGGCTACTCGTTTTTGAGTTATGCGAGATACGTTCGTACATACGTCACAAAAAATTCTCTTCAGAATTAATTTTAAAGCAGTTTTATAATTTTTTTGGAGGAAACGAGTCTTTTATTCTGTCTTTACGTACAGATATCACGCAAAAACATCGTTAAATTGCATTCGATAGCGGTCAAAATGGATATTTTCGTTGAAATATGCTGCCTGAAACTTTTCGCGATTACAGTACGTCCTTTTTACTTCGTACAAGGAAGTAAAAAACAATGATTAGATGAAACGACTGTGAAGAGTGGTTGCCGGAGCGATGGATTTTAAAGATATTAATTTATCAGCAAGAAAGAAGCCAAACCATACTAGCGCCGAGGAAATGCACTAAGAAAGAAACCGAGTGATATAGCTTTGACATAGCAAAGACAACGAGTGATTATAGTAGCAAACAGTAAATAATTAGTTTGTTTGAAATCAAAAGAAAGCATAACAGTTAAAAAAATCTGATGTGCACACCACATGACTTCCTTGTACGGAATATTAAATTATATGCATATTTTCTTGCATTTCATTTAAACTTATTAGATTGAATTAAACCTACTTCGCCGACACCGCATAAACCACAATAGAATAAATGCATTCTTTAAAATTCACTTTGTTAACCATAGCGACACTCTGGCGCTAGGTTCACTTAACAGTATTATATTTCGTTCATATTATAAGTTCCAAGTTACACTTATGCCGAGATTATCAAGCATTCTGCTTGATGTGTTCCGGCTGTCATCAGATGTTTGCTCTTCGGGCGCTGAAAAGAGAATAAGTTCGAAGTGTGAGTCCAGAAGGGCAGGAGCTAATGGCGAAGGGGCGTGACCAGTTGTCACGTGGGCTGCAAGCTGACTTATCATTGGTTGCAAGTCTTCTGAGGAATACCTCGCTAAAATTGCAATTAAATACAGTACAAAACATATATGAATTAATTATATAAATCAGTCTTCTAAATTATTTACATATGCATATTAGTCCAAGTACGTCAGGAGATAAACACAAGGCACGGGAAGAAGAGCTTGTAAACTAAGATGAGGCTCAGACGCTTGCTGCTTGAGTTTGGTGTCACTGAAAGTAGATACTATCGTGATCATTATTTAATAGACACTAATTAAGTGGGAAAGTCTTGATTTTCCTTAATCAGGTAAGCAGCATAAGGCCTGAGAAACCTATCTTCGGCAAGTATCTCGTAGTGAAACAAGTTAAAATTCATAAGATGTTCACAGTTTACCGCACCATTGAAGAAACATGCATTAATCTTGCGAATAAATTGATTTAGTGGTTCAATTTTCATGTTTCTATGCAATACTTCGTTTCTGACATAATAGTGGGCATTTGTGCTAATCCTAAGGAACTTGTTCTGCACTTTCTGGAGTTTCTCTATATCTTTTTCAGTGAGTAGCCCAGGCTGGCGCCGCATATGTCATAATTGGTCTGATGGTACTAAGATAAATTAGTCTTTTCTTATACAGATCCAATTTTGAAAATTTTCCGATAATTGGGTAGAGACATTTCATGACTCTTAGTGCATGGTTACAAACATTCTCAATATGTGCAGTCCAGTTTAGTCGATTATTGATAGTTATGCCAAGATGTTTCGCTTTATCGACAATTGGCACTGGTTCGTTAAACAGTAACAGTTCCTTTTTAAGGGGGGCATTCCTCTTTCTTTTTCTGACAATGAGGAGTTGGGATTTTTGTGCATTAATCCGGACTTTCCAGCGTTTGCACCACTTTTCAATGTAAGGGACGTTTTCCTGTAGTTTTTTAATTGCATGATTAAGATTCGCTGACTTCACCGCGACAGCAGTGTCGTCAGCATAGCATGCAAGTATTGCATTATTATTGCAGTGGATTTTCGGGAAATCTGCGACGTAGAACAAGTAGAGTATCGGACCTAAAACTGATCCCTGAGGAATACCGCTCAGCATGATTCTTTTAGTAGAGAGGGAATTTCCAACGGGGACTTTGAAATTCCTATTCGATATGAAAGAAAGTAGCACAAGAATGAGTTCTCTTTCAAAATCAAGATCGATCGATTTGCAAACTAGCCCCTCATGCCAAACGCGGTCGAAAGCCTTCGCCACGTCTAACATGAGGACAACTGTATTCAAATTATTGTGAAGTGCTTGCTCCACAAAGTCAGTAATTCTTACTAATTGTTTGGTGGTCGATACATGTTCACGGAATCCAAATTACTCCGGTGGTAGCTTTTGGAGATGCAACTTCATACGGGCAAGTAAAATTCTTTCGTAAAGTTTAGAAAGTCCAGGCAGGAGCCAGATGTTCATATTATAACTCAGAATGCACAATATTTATATCATTTAAAGAATTATCTAATCGTTGCCACATGTTCTGTTCAAATACTATAATAAAGCTAGAACGATGTATAAAAGAAATTAAACAAACAAAACAAAAAAAGAAACAGTTTTTCACAGACGATTGAGTATTTCTCATTTAATTAATTCAGTTCTCACTTCGCAAGAAGGCAAAAATACATAAAAACTCAAAATATTTATATTAAAAATTACGAAGTAAATCTTAAGCACTTATTTCCTCGAAAAAATTCCAGAAAGAATTAAGCATGATTTAATTGGCAATAATAAATGAATGCGTTATCTTTGTTGTTACCAAGCTAAGTTTCTCTAGATTGGCAACAAATCCGATATCCTGCTGTTTCAAATGTAAACAAGAGCAATGGCCGCCATCAAAAACATTATTAGGCTTAGCGGCACTTAAACAATTTTAAAATTGTTGATAATTCTAAAAATATTGCGTACAGATTTACTAAAGGCATAAAAACCTTAACCGAAAGATAATAACAACATAATTCAATCATTTTTAAAGCAAAAAATGTACAATTTACAAACATATAAGAGTAAAGAAACTGAGATTACTGAGCCGGGTAACAGAGTGGATATATATATAAATATATTTATATACGTTTGGTGCTGCCGATTGCAACCAAAATACGAGGTGCACATCTACATGTTATAGCAGTCCTATACAAAATTTCAACGTTCTGAGGCTACTCGTTTTTGAGTTATGCGAGATACGCACGTACATACGTTCGTACAGGCGCCACGAAAAATTCTCTTAAGAATTCATTTTAAAGCTGTTTTATAACTTTTTTGGTGAAAAAGAGTGTTTTATTTTGTCCTTACGTATATATATCAGGGAAATACATCGTTAAATTGCATTTAAAAGAGGTCAAAATGGGATATTTTCGTTGAAATATGCTGCCTGAAACTTTTCGCGATTACAATACTTCCTTTTTATTTCGTACAAGGAAGTAAAAATTG